AAAAGGGAACCCTCTTACACTGTTGGTGGGAGTGCAAGCTGGTGCAACCACTCTGGAAAACAGTGTGAAGGTTTCTTAAAATGTTAAAAATAGAACTGCCCTACGACCCAGCAGTTCCACTATTATGTATTTACTCAAAGGATATAAAAATACTGATTCAAAGGGACACATGCACCCTGATGTTTTAGCATCATTATCAACAATAGTCAAATTATGGGGACACCTGGGTGGCTCAGTGGTTGAGCATCTGCCTTCGGCTCAGGGTGTGATCTGGGGTCCTGGGATCAAGTCCCACATCGGGCTCCCTGCAGGGAACCTGCTTCTCCCTCTCCCTGTGTCTCTGCCTCTCTCTGTGTCTCTCATAAGTACATATATAAAATCTTTAAGAAAAAGTCAAATTATGGAAAAAGCCCAAATGTCCATCGTTGGTGAATGGATAAATAAGATGTTGTGTGTAGTAATATATTATACTATATACTAATATATAATTAGTATAATATAAAAGTAATATCAAAGTAATATATTACATTGTGGATACATACACACAATACACACACAATGGAATATTACTCAGCCATCAAAAAGAATGAAATCTTGCCATTTCCAAAGATGTGGATGGAGCTAAAGAGTATTATGCTAATGAAATAGAGAGAGATCCCTGGGTGGTGCAGTGGTTTGGCGCCTGCCTTTGGCCCAGGGCGCGATCCTGGAGACCCGGGATCGAATCCCACGTCAGGCTCCCGGTGCATGGAGCTTGCTTCTCCCTCTGCCTATGTCTCTGCCTCTCTCTCTCTCTGTCTCTCTGTGTGACTATCATAAATAAATAAAAATTTTAAAAAAAGAAATAGAGAAAGACAAATACCATATGATTTTACTCATGTGTAGAAGTTAAGAAACAGAGAGAGAGAGGAGAGAGGAAAACCAAGAAACAGACTCAACTATAAAGAACAAAAATAGTTACCAGCAAGAGTAGGGGGATGAGTTAAATAGGTGATGGTGGTTAATACATACACTTGTAGTGATGAGCACTGGGTGTTGTATGGAAGGGATAAATCAGTAAATTGTTCACCTAAAACTAATATTACAGTGTATGCTAAGTAACTGGAATTTTAATAAAAACTTTTAAGAAATGGTATGTCAATATCATAAAAAGTATTATGAAATTTTAAAAATAGAGAAGAAATGGAAGCATCATATTTTTGTCTTTCTAAATTAGGAGCGGAGTTACCTCAGAATCTCCTGACAGCCAAAGTGCTATTATATTGTCAATTCCATGAACTCAAATCTTATGACTTAATTATCTTTCATCTTCCAGTACCTACTATAGTCTTCAACCCCAAGGAAGTAGTATAGTAAAGGGATTCTGTGGTCAATTCTTTGGAATTGAGTTCTGGCTCTACCTCCTACCAATTGTAGAACCTTGGGAAAATTCTTTAACCCATCTGTGCCAAATCTTCCTAATCTTAATAATGGAGATAATAGTAGTTGCTCTTTTACAGGACTACTGTGAAGATAAAATAAGAGGTGTCTGGCACAAGATGCTTAATAATTGTTAGCAAACTTTAATATATAAGAAAAAGAGATTGACAAGTAAATTAGTTGTCTTTTTATAATGATTTACCTAGCACATATAAATATTATTTGGCCTGATATACTTAATAACATATATTTAGAAAATAATTATGCTAAAGCAGTTTATAAAATTTTCTTCCAATTTTGAAATGATTTATCTCTAAAACAATACATCTAATATTATGCAATCTTACTATCCATTCTTTCAATATTATATCTGAAGAAATGATAGGACCAAAACCAATTTGTTTTAGCTGGTAATATTTCAGAATATTGTTTTTCTTAGGTGCATTGCCTGGAAAGCAAGAAGGTATTTCATCTTAGTTCACTACACATTTCAAGATCATGTTATAATAATTAAAACTGTCCATTTAGTGTGAAGATCAGTATCTACAAGGTGTTTCCACTCAGCATCAGCCCACTTTATTCTTACTTGAGCAAAGAATAATATAAAGAAAGCTTTTATGAAAGCCATTAATCACTGTCATTTAGTACCTAATTGAAAAGGCAAAACTTTTGGCAGACTATAAACATTAAACAGTGATATTAAAATCATCATTCAAAAAACAGCATGGTATTACTAAATACAGTTCCTGATTGACCAAACAGAAATTATATAAATAAGTGAGATTTAGTAAGAAGAGGACAATGCACATATGTAATGCCACTATTCTTTGTGAATGTTTATTAACTAGCAATTAAAGTAGCTTACCAATAACTTTAATAGTAAAAAAAAAACCCACTATGATACTCATTTCATTTGCTATTTATAGTTCTCTTTTTTTTAACCACCAATACTGAAATATCTCTTCAAGATAATTTTAGCTGCTTTATTCTCTCCTCACATTTTTGATCAGATCTGGGAAACATCTGCATAGGATTCCATTTAGGGGAGACAGTGCCAGTGAGAGGTCTATCATCATTAGTATGATCTTAGGCTTGTGGTATTTTCTAACCCTGATACAGAAAATCAAAAAATCCTTCCTTAAGAAAAATCCTTGAATTAGTTAATATCATAATTAATTAGTTTGTATTAACTAACTGGTCAGTAATCTTTTCTATTTCATCTCTCTGTCTTTACAAAAAACTTAGATATTATAATATTCTATAGTATATCCATATATACTTATGTATATACATATATGCATATCTTATGACTGCAATGCATTATCCTTAAAAGTAGTGAAGAAAAGTATACCACCGCTCTTACTTTTAGTATATTGTGTTTGATTATGATTATTATATTTGCAAAGTACATACACACAGGATAACTCGTATCCATGCAAAAACTAGTCTAACCCTTCTTATGGATCTCCAAAGAATCTTGTGAGACAGGTGCATCTGTGAAGTTAATATTTTCAAGAAGAAGTAAAACAGGAAAGAGAACTTTGTATGGGAATATAATGCCTATCACAGCACCCTCTGAACAATTTAGTATAAGAACAGGGCTGAGGCCTTCATAATTATATCACTTTGTCTCACCCTCCCTTGGCTCTAATAAATATGAATAAAAGTAAATAAAAGGAAAAATATGTCATGTTTATAAAACAGAAGACTTTAGATTTTTAGTGTCTATTCCCCAAAATTGATCGTTACATAAAATTCAATTTCAATAAAAGCCTTTGCAAGATTTTTTTTAGCAAAAAAATCATCTATGGTGATAGAAATCAGAACAGTGGTTGCATACGCATATGGAGGTAGGTAAAGACTGACTGGAAGCAAATACGAAGATTTACCTGAGAAAATGGAAATGTTTCTATTGTGATTGGTATTTCTGGTTACCTGGGTATATATGCTTGTCAAAATTCTAAGAATTTGTATTTAATATTTGGACTGTGAATTGATCCACAATATGATTATTCTCTATGTGGTCAGCAGATGCCATTGGATCAGCGACTTTAATATGATCAAGTCAGTCCTACTTAAACGTAAATAACATAACAACCCACACTATTCATTCATCAGGCATCCTACAAGTGAAGGAAGAAAGGATATACAAAAAAAAAAAAATCAAACATCATAAACCATCCTTCAAGAAATTAATCTAGTTATGGGATGACTGGGTGGCTCAGCAGGTGAGCGTCTGCCTTTGGCGCAGGGCATGATCCTGGGGTTCCGGGATCGAGTCCCACATCAGGCTCCCCGCATGGAGCCTGCTTCTCCCTCTGCCTGTGTGTCGGCCTCTCTATCTTTCATGAATAAAGAAATAAAACTTCTAAAAAAAAGAAATCAATCTAGTTAGAAATACTTTTGTAATATGCTTTTATCTATCAGTTAGATAAGTCAGATCATTTTGTAAGGCTCTTTTGATATCATTTTTTATTGTAGTAGCAGTTGTTTTGTTTTTATTGTTTTTGCCTATTTAGATTTCCTCTTTCATGAATTGCCTCTTCATTTTTTGTACCCATTTTACCACTGGGTTTCCAGATTACTTTAGTTATTTATAGTAAGACTTTATTTCTCTACATATAAATTTTCAATTGGTTATATATAGTCTAAATATTCTTTTCATTTTGCATCTCCTTTGTTTTTCAAAAAGATCTTTATGGAGTATACCTTATATATCACATTTAGAAAATAAGTGTATTCTCTTTTGGTATTAATAATTATTTTCTGACTTCTGTTGTAACTTCTCTGTTTATCATTCAGTTTTTTAGAAGTTTTTTTTATTAATCATTATTTTTCTATTTCCAAAGAAGTGGGAATGGGTGGGAATGAGTAGGACCATGTAAAAAGACAAGATGCAAAATGGGAAAGGATAAGTTACCTTTTTCACTTCTGATTTCTAATTTCTAATTTTCCTACACTTTGCTCAAAGTTGTTGGATACAGATTCATTAAAATTGGGGGGGATTTGGTTTATGACTTTTTATGTGGGTAATTTTTTATAACACTCCATGTACCTTTGAAAAGAATGGGTAGAAAATCTCGTACTTAGCATATAGTCTAAAATAGATAAGCTTCCTGGTTTTTTGTTGTTTTTTTTTTTTTTTCATGTTGATGAGTGGACTTTGGTCCACCATTTTGTTAAAATAAAATTTTAAGGAATTTCGGGCTTATTAAACTATTGTCATTGAATCAACAAAATTTTTACATGAATAAAAAGAAATGATTTAATAGATGATGATACTAAAATATTTACTATATAAAAGCTTCTAGCCTTAATAAAAATAATAAAATGTATTTTTGTTTTTATTAAATTAATAAAAATCATAAGAGCTTTGAAAATCACAAGTACACAAAGTGTATTTCTGCATTAGTAAGCAGGGCTATACTTATTTTTTGCTCTTTAAAAACTATATAATCCTTTGTATTCATATTCTGTGTATCCTATGTATTAGGGAAAAGTTATTTTCTTAATATCACACATAATTGTTTTTTTCTTTATCTTAATTCACAGGAATGTATCAAAGGGAATTCATTGCTTACCAATTTGCTTTCTGTACTGATCAACAGGAAGTTTTATAGTGGAGGCATCTTTTCTACCCATCTTTGATCTCCAAAATGCCTGCTGCAAAGAAAGAAAATAATTATGATGAAGTCCTAAAAAATCAAAAGGACTATCTACAAACTTCAGGAATAATTTATTCCATAAAATTCATTTTTAAAGCAATGGGTAAAAATGTCTTTGACTTACTCCCATTAGAGATCAGTAAAGAACACAAAATTCTTTCAAATAAATTATCCAGGATACAATTGCTGGTAATTAAATTTCCCAATTATTTGTTCTTGGTAACATTCATTTTATCAAGTATTATCAATACCCAATTAAACCAAACTGTTAGAGAGTATTATTTGTAAATGTGAAAATCATGTAGTATTTATTCAGATGGGTTTGGGTTATAGGCATGCTCTTGGCAGTATGTTTCTTTCCAATTACCTATTGTTACACAAAAAGTCTAAAGTTTGAATCTCAGTTACTTTGAATCTTGTTTTAAAAAGACATGATATTTTTAAAAAGGCATGACATAGGAAACAAAGTGCATAAATTTGAGTTCTAGACTGTCTCTCCTATAAATAGTATAAATTACTACCATTTCCTAATATTCTCATGCTTACTACATTATATGCACTGTTTGATTTAGTCCACAACACATCTTTCAAGTCTTATTATTTTTATTGAATTTAAATATGTGGCAGACATGTGGAATTTAAGAAACAAACAAGCAAAGGAGAAAAAAAAAAAAAGGAATGGAGAGAGAGGGAAATCAAGAAACAGATTCCTAACTACAGAAAACAAACTGATGGTTACCAGAGGGAAGAGGGGTTGGGCCACAGTGAAATAGGTGATGGGTATTATGGAGGGCACTTGCAAGGAGCACTGGGTGTTGTACGGAAGTGCTGAATCACTATACTGTGCAACTGAAACTAGTATTACACTGCTAACTAGCTGGAATTTAAATAAAAACTAAAAAAATTGATGAGATGAGCACTGGGTGTTATGCTATATGCTTGGCAAATTGAATTTAAAAAAGAAACTTAAAAGAAACTTGAAAAATAAATATGGCAGAGATTATAACCTACTCACTAAAATTCAAATTCTCCTTTTCTTCCTGGCACAGAGTTAGACTATGTTTCCTAGCCTCATTTCAAACATGTAAGTTAGTTCTTGTCAAAAGAATATGAATGGAAGTCATGTATGTCACTTCTAGACCCGAACATTAAAATCTTTGTTGAAGGCTGTGTTCTCTCTCACCTTCCAATTGGCTAGAACGGAAATTATCCCCTGACAAACCTTAAGGGTACATGTAGGAATGCAGTACCTTTGGTCAGCCTGGGGTGGAAGAGGATAAACTCTAGCTTGTTTATCATCTTAGTACTTTACCAAAAAGTAGAATGACTGAAAAAGGAATGAAATTCTAGAGTACTTATATATGTTGGGTGGTGAGGTCTATTTATTACAGACTTAATTGTTCCCAGAGTGGCGCCTAGAAATTGCTCCTCACTGCTTCTAGTAAGGAACTACGGAATAAAGATGCGGTGAGGCAAGAACTGGCCAATTCATAATCAAAAATACCAAGTGATAGAGAGCTATGTAATTTGGGGGCTAACAAGGTTGGAAAAGCCAGCTTCTTCTAAAAGTCAAATAGCAAGAAATAAAAGAGAAAAAGGCTTTGAATAACAAAGGTCCATTAAGACTTCTCAAAGAGACAGAGAGAGAGATAAAAAGTAGATTGGGATGCTCTTCTCTCACCTGAACCTATTGTTTCAGATCACCTGGAAGCAGCCACTATCAGGTAGAAAGAGACAAGTAGAGGAGTTCTGAGGAATAGAAAATAAATAGGTGTGAGAACTATGGAAAGAAACTGCATGGTCATATGAAACTAGCCAGAAATATTAAGACGGCTACTAAAATCTGAGGGAATTATATTTACAAGGAAACCAAATTTGTCTAAAAAAAGTATGAGAATGAAAATAAATCCTTGGACCTCTAAACTTAAATTAGCCCATTGCAGCTCCCAAGGAAGGCAAACGCTATAGATTTGTAACAGCCACTTCACAGGTGACTAGGACGCAGAACCCTCCAGAAGGCAGAGCCATAAAGAACAACGGACAAGGGAATTTCACTTCTAAAAAAATCATAATTATGGTCCAAGGAAGAAACTTCTGTCAGTACAATGAATGGGCCTTCTCAGTGGCCTCATGTGCAGCAGGTATCGTTACCATGCTGGATCAGTGCTTCCTGTGTGGTTCCCATTTATCCCATTCTTCCCTTTCTAAATGGGAATGATTATAGGGGATATGAAGCAGTTATTATTCTCTGCTTCACCATTAGGAAAGTTTGTCTGTAAACTTCAAGGAACCACATTCAAACCTGAGAAGGATCACTGTGTACCTGCTTGAGATCCTTGACTTTGTTCTGGATGCAGTAAGTAGGGAACTTTAGGATCTTCCTACAAAATAGATAAGAAAAATGCTGTGCATGGCTGTCTCGTGACCAGAAAGGTGAACTATGGGAAAAATTGCTAGCTGCTTACTAAAATACATGTTCTCCTTTGTTTTTGCTTTTTCTTTTTTCCTGAGCTCCCTTGACAGAGTTTCCAGCTTCTTCTAAGGCTAGCTATGGGCATGTGGTTAAGTTTCAGCCAACAGAATATGAAAAATTAGTGTTTGCTACTTCTAGAACCAAACTACAAAGACATTCCATATGTGCTCATTCATCTGGCTAAAATGAGATGCCTCCAGAGTGGTGCTGAAAATAATCTAATGAAGATGGCAAGAGCCTATGACATCCTGGGCCCTGAATGACTACACAAAGGAAAGCTACTCAACCTACTTGTTTTTTCTCTTTCAGGCTGCTGTGAGGACAAGAAGTAACTTGTAGCATTTGAGCCTCTATACATTTTAGATTTATTTGTTACAGCTGACAGAATCACCCTAAGGAAAACAAGTATATATAGATGTCCTGTATAAGCTACTGGACTATAATTATCCTAAAGAACATTATTAAGGTTCTCAAATGCCAGATGTCTTTGAAATTGGTTTAGATCAAATTGTATTGTTTATTTATACATATGGTCACACAGGGCAATCCCAACAATGATACCACCTAATACAGTAAATGGCACCCCCAAATTAAAAATTACTACTATGTGTAAGAAATTATAAGTTCTGCTAAAAAAAATCTATGTCTCTATTTGTAATAATCTTCAGATTTAACATTATGGTAATATTGAAGAATGTGCAAAGTAAGACAAAAAGTCAAATAAATTAAATCTTTGCCTCTCATAAAACATGTAGTTATCATATCTAAGATAACACAACCTTAAAATTTCAAAAATGAAACTAAGTCATCACCTAATCCTATGTTCTCACTTGTTATTATTCAGAACATTAATACAAGCATCATAAAAAATATCAATAGATATGTTATAATTTATTCATATAGCAATCCATTTGCATAGCGTTTTGCATTTACTAATTGTAAAGAGGAGTCAAGGCAAGTTATTTTAATCTTGATTATTAAGGGGCTAAAAATTATTACTCCATTTTAGGAGAGAAGTTAGCTTAAATAAATAAATACACAGACATTATTTCCTTTTCAACTTAGTTTTGTGTGCTGCCTTTATGGAATAGCTTAAATTTTTAAAAAGCAAATTACTAAGGCTAACTACCAAAATGGTCACTCACTGTGTCCCTCAATTCCTTCTTGGTCATTTGAATCAACATCCTAACAGAGATAACATTTTAGAAGTCAGTATTTTATTCATTCCTTACCGATAGTAAATAAAAAAGGAAGAGATTCATAGAGAGTATCTTCTCAACAAAGTGAATTAGATTTTACTTATTTTAAAATGTACTTTAAATAAACAAAGTGATACCAAAAAAAGCTAAAAAAAAAAAACAAAAAACAAAAAGAAAAACAAACCTGGATTTTTATAAAGGCCGGTATTCTATGGATACATTTTATATGTATATAACCTGTGAATATAAAATCTTTAAAAGAATATCAACCTAAGAGATGTATTAAAGAAGAACTAACTTTAAATTTTTGTTCCTAATGATTTTAGTGACTGATAATCCTTAACCAAAATTTCAAATTTTAAAACTTTATTCCCTGAAATTATTCTGTTCTATTCTTTATTTACCCTATTCTATTCTTTAAGCAAAATAAAACTTTACCAAATGTTGAAACCAAAACACGCCTAGAGAACACACCCATGCAAAAATGACTTATATTTTATTAGCTGTAACAAACACAAGAAGGCAGAAAATATCTTACTTTTCTAATAAACACATTGAGGCTATTTTATATGATCGAAAGAGATTCCCATTCATGTGTATGGTGCAAACTGTCAGTGCCTCGGACATCTAGAACCTCTAAAATGTTCTGACTTTTCTTTGTTCTTCAAAGCCTTGCAGTAATCATCATTCATTTCTATTGCTTTGATGGTAAGATAGCAAACTCCCAAGAAATCCAGGGAGACATTAGCACATAGAGCCGCAATTTCTAATAAGACAGCTATTTGCATACAAGATCAGCCACAATTTAAAATGTGTTGTGATAGATGCGGAAAGGGAATAACAGATTTATATTAGCATGTACAATACCAAGATTGTTTTCACAATTTAATTCCTTGGAGAGTACATCTCATCACCTTCTTTTATAAAGAACACCGCATTCCCTGAGGAACTAACTTGCTCTGAGACCCAGCTAAACTAAAATATGGATTAATAAGATAATATTTATTATTTATGAATTTCGCTGTAGGAATGATTTCAGATTAAATCATCAGAGAAGTTTTTAACATTCTTGAAACTTGATAACACATACTTAAGGAAGAAAAAAATGCTAATTTTATTTAATGCCTAAATTGCATATTAAAATACTTCATAATTAATTTTTATTTAATTAAAACTAACACTCTCCAGGACTTTTCAGATTAAAGAGAATGTTTTTGTTTTTAATATCCTTTCTTAACCTAATTTTACACAGCAATTTGCCACATGTATTTTTAAATACAATATGTGACCTTTAAAAACAAACAAAGGTAATACAATATCCTATCACATTCTGACCAAGGTATTTTATTGCTCATTTATATCTTTTTTATGAAATCCAGAAAGAACAAGAAAGAAATAAGAAACCTGAAGCCTTCACATATGTCTCTGCTTCCAGAAAAAGCATTCAATCCAGACTGTGACATTTAAATACAGATCAAAACACAGGTTATTAAAAAATTCAACCCATGACCACAGAAAAAGTAATGATCTCAGTTTTTAAGGCTAAAAGACCCTTCCTTCAAAAAATTCTTACTTTAGTATGAAGTTATAAATAGGCAGAAAAGATGTTTGGTTATGGCTGGATCAGAATTGAGAACCAATCATGAAAATAAAATCTTATGCCAGATGTTGGGATGAACAGAGTAGTGGGTAAATAAAGAAGGCACTTGTCCCTGATCTGATGCATTCATTATTCCAGACTGATGTTTTAAAAATTCAAAGCTGATTGTGTAAGCAGCATATTTAAGTCATCCAAATAATGGCCCATTTCCTAGATAAAGCAAAAACTCTTAATATACAGGACCATTAATAACACAAGTATCTGTTCTCCTTACTCATGTTCTGATGTACTATCAAATTCAGCCTTTAGTTCCATGATTTTGACAAGCTCATTCACATTTTTATGAATTTACTCATGCTCTGCAATGTACTTTAAATGTCATTTTCATATTCCCCCATTTGTGAAATCTATATTTTAATATTTCAAGCAAGGGCACATGATTCAGATTTCCAGAGATAATCCTCCACACTTAAGGAAATGAAAAAAAAGTCATTTGGGACACTATCAAAGTGTGACACAATAGACAATGAATACTTTGACATAAATATATATATTGAGATAAATTATTACAAGCAGGACAAAGTCCTATTATGTAAAACTGGAGAGTTAAACAGTGGTCTTCTGAGTGTTTTCAGGGATCAAAGTGTCCACCTCATTTTCACTTTGTCAAATTAATTTCTTTTAGAGCCACAGAAAGAATATGTCAAAACTTGAGGGGCACCTGGGTCAGGGGCAGGTACCTGGGTAGCTCAGTCAGTTAAGCATCTGCCTTCAGCTCAGGTCATGACCTCAGGGTCCTGGGACTGAGCCCCACGTCTGGCTCCCTGCTCAGTGGGGTGTCTGCTTCTCCTTCTCCCTCTGCTTCTCGCCCCTGCTCATACTCTCTCTCTCATATAAATAAATCTTAAAAAAAAAAAAAGGCTTGAATACTTGGAAAAGTGATTTATAAAATCCTGATCATTTGACCACATTGACAGAAAAATTCCTAAGAAAAGTAACTGCAAGATAATTAGCTGTGTGACCCCAAAAAGTCATATTCTAGGAAAGGAATCTTAGCTGTTGGGACTCATCCTTCAGTCATATGATGGAACTAAAATGAATACTATAATGAATGTATATCATTATGGGAAAACAAACCAAAATTGGACCCCTATCTCACACCACATGTAAAAATCAATTGAGGATAGGTCATAGACCTAAACAAAAGAGCTAAAACAATAAAGCTACTAGGAAAAAAAGAGATTATCTTTATGACCCTGGAGTAAGTAAATATTTCTCAGAACACAAACAGGATAGACCATAAAGGCAAAAAATAAAAATGTACTGAACTTCATCAAAATTAGTTTTTGCTCAGCAAAAGATACCAGGAAGAAAAAAGAAAGTAAATGTGTAATTTATAAACAGTTTGTAAATACTCGTAATATCTGTATCTGAAAAAGAACTCACACTCAGGATATATAAAGAACTACTCAGGTAA